GAATTTCCAAAGTTTTCAAACACACTTTGAAAAGCTTACTGAAATAAGATATGAAAATATGGTGTGCAAATGCTCAGTTAAATAAAAATCATATACAAAAACTGATTAAATGACATCCAGCATGAGTAAACAAATATACAAAAATTTGGAAGGAAACAGAAATAAAATTAATTTACTTATTGGTACTGTGAAACACTCATGATCTCAGATTTCATGGAGATCACTTAAGAGCCAATTTTACAACTTATTGGCAATGTATGTAACATGTCATCATACACAATTTGTACATTTCAAAAGGAAGACACGAGTGTTGTTTCAAATCTTCACAACAAAGGCATTGAGACAGTTGGAAGGAAAAGGATATTTAAGATTATCTGCAAATTCGATGATTGGAGAAGACAGAATAACACAATATGATTATCTGACTATCATAAAAATGGACATTTATAAGTTCACAAAGTGAATTGATTTGATATTTTTAGAGGACCGATAACTTTGAATCTTCATCCTAACTTGGAAAATAAAGTTAATTACCACGAATGACTTTCTATTTATTGTATTGAAAAGAATACGTATAGATGACCTTACGACATAAAAATTTAAGAAATGGTATTTTGAAAATAAAAATACTTTACTTTCAAGAGCAAAAATGATCTCTTTTTAAAAACATATTGAAATGGGCTTTCAATACCGTCACATGACAAAACTTTCGTTGTGGCACAATGAAAACAAACAGAAAAATGATGTGTCAAGTAATATAAAACACAGGTTTTTATGAAGCAGCACTGAATAAAACAGAAATATCTAACTTTCTTTAACTACTATTTTGATTTATATGAAATAATTAAGGAACGGATTTTCAGGCAAGTATTATGTCTACTTAGGAGTTACAAAATACATTCTCTAAATCAAATTCACTTCAAATATAGTTTTACTTTACCTAAAAATGTAAAAATTTCCATTGTTTAAATGAATTTTGAGCTTATTTGCACTCCCAGTGTCCTTATCTTCACTCACTATGTAGTGACACAGTGAACATGTTGAAAGAAACAGCATTTGAACATGAACATTATTTTCTCACCATCTAGGTGTAAAAGGTTTATAGTAAGATAAATACTGCAATATTCTATTGATAGCATCTTTATTTGTGATTGTTTCAAGATACAAAAATTTAACATCAGCAAGAGTGATGTAGAAGTTGGCTTTTTACCTGCGAAACAATTCTATTCCATTAAGTATGGGCAAAATTAATGGTGGATGCACATTATTCTCTTGTTATTAAAAATTTAAGAAGTAATAAGCATGTAAATAACAAACATCATATTTATTGTTAGAAAAAAACTAATTTTATAAAAAGAGACAAACATTGGGACAAAATATACAAAGGACAAGCAAATTTTTGTTCTTCTGCAAATCTACATGTTTGAACATTTCTAAGTTTTCCTTCAACATGCACATTTGTGACAGTTTATTTTTTTTTCTTTTTACTGAAGATATCCTAACTACTAAATAAGTTAAATGATTCCCAACTAAATAAATGGAAGCATATGGCTAAGAATGGGACAAACAAATTATGACGGGAGATGAAATGCCGAGGAGGGAGAGGCAAAGAAAAATCTTTAGGTAATGCAGTCCTTAACCATCTAGGTCCAACTGTGCAGGTGCCCTGTTGTTGCCCTTCACCCTTGCACAATCAAAATGCTTTCAGAAAAAAATGACAATATCTTTGTTCACAAATAATAACAGAAAACATTGTTTTCCGTATTGTTAGAAAAAAAATTTATAAAAAGAGATCAACACGGGAAAAAAACATTGTTTATGTGAACCACTAGAGTCAAAACACGACATGGTTAAAGTGAATAAAGCATCCTACGCTATCTAGCCACTTTCTGACAAAACACCCTGAGACATGATACAAGGCAACATAAATATTAAATGTTTACAGAAAATCCCAGTTTTCTTCAAGATGGCACTTATCCTGTAGTTCAGAGACACTTTTTAATTTACTGAAGTATATGACCATTAGCTCTCCGGATTAAACTAAGCAAGAATTCTATTTTCAAGTGCTTTGAAGACACTCTCGTACATTCATATAATTTGTTAAGAAACACAATAGTATACATTGTATACTTCAGTACATATTGATGACAACACACAGTATTGGAAGAACAAACAAAATAATGATAGAATTTTGATAATGAAAGAAATGCACAAGAAAATTACAATACTAAAAATTGAGTATGAAACAATTTTGATGCGCAAAGAAATTTTACCAATGCAGTTTTTATTTGAAGACATTATAATAAAACTTCCCACTAATTTTTGCTGAGCTATGTCAAACATATTTTGTTTTCCCTAATTGCATAACTGAAAAAGGCTTCAAACAATATTGTTATTTTCCTTTATATTGTAGATAATGCATTACAGAATGTGCATGAGAAAACAAACAAAAAATACAACTCATAAGTTTGGAAGAGGAAGAAAGTCTTTGATAAATCCCAAACCAAAATTTATTTTTGGGGCAGTAGAAAAGATAAAAAAAGAAATTCCCTCTTTCCCAACCAGACCTATGATAATGATATGGTTACCCATGGTCATGGTCATGGTCATATGCTAGAATAACACTTAAGCAGCACTGAAAGATTCCGGTTTGTTATCAATTTACATCACAAAGACAATGATTTATCAATATATATTAGACTCTCAAAGAACAGATCAGTATTAAAGATGGAAAAGGAATTAAGTTTGTTTGATGCCTTAGGATTAGAAGAATGTCACATTGAAAAATCTCATAGCTATAAATAACAAACATTTTGTGACTTAAAACGATCATAAAAACAGATCTCCCAGAATTTTTTAATTTTTTTTAGTTAGTTTTAATGAGATATTAGAATATACTCGGTAAATATAACACGATGGAAATTGAAAATGTGATCGCAAGTTACACTATTTGTCTTAAAAACACGTAAATCACATTTTGTGAAGGGTCAAACTTTTTCTTCACTTAAGATGCTTTTCGCAGAAAATCATAAATGGCATTTTACTGAAAAAGATTTTCAAAGTATAATTTGCAGTGCAATATTTTAACACACATAGCCAACTACAAGCTGGTAAAATTCAACTGACAATGTAATAAACATAATGCTTATACAAATATTTTCGTCCTACCACATATTATTTTTATTACAATGGAACATTTTAGAATCTGACACCTCAAAATCCGTTCCAAAGAAAGAAAAATAATATATATTTATAGTTATTACAGTATTTCAAATTATTACCTTGAAAATATACAAGGAAAAAAGATGGAAGATATTCAGATAACTTAGTTATAGAAATTGAAAATGCATTTTTTTATTTATAAAAATAATGAAGCTGTTTTATTTGATGATTCAAAGTATTTTAAATGGTGGAAAATGATCTGTGCGAAATGTTGGAGACTAGTGTTCTAGAAAAGACAAATGCTTTTGCGTACTGTACGTAAATTATTTTTAGAGAATTTCAATGACTTGTTCATTGCAACAATTCTGAATATTTCATGACACTTCTACTACATAAAATTAGGTGTCTCTTAGTTGTTGTATTTCTATTTGAGGGCAGAAAAAGAGCAGCGATACTCCTGACACATGAGAATGCTACATAGACTAAAAAACAATGATGGGTCAGAGCTTTGTCAAGAAAAACTTTACTACAATATACTAAAGATAATACTTATCTTCAATGTCACCTTGTATATATAAACACTCCTGCGCACACGATTGATTTTCACACATGCAACCTATTACACATAAAAGCTCTCATATAAACAGAATTCAAGAAACAGTACACAATGACACAGACATACAAATACATTACATGAAAATTCAAGATTTTCCCATTATTGCAGTGATATTATAAACAGGATTTGTTAATTTGAAAACAAATATTAGAATTCTTAAGAGTTCATTATCACTATAATTTTTCATTATTATTATCGTTCATTCACATTCATCTATGCGAAGAAATATAGGCATTTATGGACATAATATAAATATCAGTACCCCACCCCTAGGCAGATCCCATCTGCACATTTCATCTTGTGAAACAATTTGAAACAGGATGAATTTACAATTAAATTATTCAAAGTATTTATACTGACAATTCACAATAATCTCATGATATTTGGGCAATACATACTTAACTAGTAAATACAGAAAAAACTTATTTTTTCAGCTCAATTGATCTATTCTTGATGAAAATGGGATATTTCAAATCGATGATGAATATTCTATTTCTGGAGAAAGATATTTGGCATTTCATATTAAACACTGACTTTTATTAATATTTGCATACTTTCTTTCAAGATAACACGAATTACACAGTTATGGTTTCAGGGTGTTGCAGATACAACCGATTCATTCTCTTTGAGAAGAATGTGTATAAATTACAAAACTAAATGTAAACACATTATTTTATAAAATGAATCCTCCATAGCACCTTTCACACAATATGTACTTAGCATATAATATTCCTACCCAAGATTTCATTTTATGAAAGAAAAGGAATGTGCACAAAGTTATTTAAGATGCCAAATTTGAGGGCCAACATTTATGAGTTACAATAACTAATATATTTCCTTTCAACATCAAATAACAGGCATTCTTAGTAAATTTTGAAAATAATTTACAAATCACACTTATACCAATCCAACATTAAAACACTTGTTATTGGATGAAATTGTTTGGGAGATAATTTTAAGTGATGAAATATACTTTCAAGAATGACATTTCAAATCTTGACATACAAAATAGTGTACAACAGATTATTCATGACCTTTCTACTCCCTGCATTTCCAATGGAAATTAATCATATGCTAGATACTCAAAAATAATAAAAAGACAATTTTTTTTGGATCTATCTGACAAAAATAAATCTACAAGATATATTCATGACCAGCAACCAAAACAATTATATCTTATTTCTTTCATTACTTGACAATGTACAAAAATGTAATTTCAAGATATACACATATGTATGTATATTTATACAGATTTTTTTAAAGTCATAACAAAAAAATAAAACAGACAAACAGACTAGAAGCTACCCAAATAGGACATTTTTAGAGTGTGACATATAGAAGACTAAAAACAAAGAACATAGTTGAAATGTTTCACATTTCAAAAACCAAAGGAAATAGCAAAACCATATTCAGAGAACATAGATAAAACACATTCTGTCATGAAGGCCAAAGAGATGGAGAGAATGTGGAAACCTAAACTAAGAGAGCAAGATCAGGAACACCATAGTAACTAAGGAAATACTGGCAGGTAAAGAATTGTTCACACAGAACTAAACCATAAATATCCATGACGATGATGAACTAGAATTCAAAACTAAAGGTTAGTTTATTTGTAAAGATTCAAATTTTATAAGTAAGAATTTATTCTATTCTGTCTCAAAATACCACTATTTGGCAGACGTAGACAAGGTTTGAATAAAAACATTCATTTTATGTATTTGAAAACATTGAAAATTGTGAGATGAAATGATCTTTCAACGTATCTCTTTTTTCATGGTATCAGCAATTTATTGAATAGGCACTTTGAATCACAGGTGAATAGACCATTCATTCACACATCATGTACTTATGTTTTTAAAACATAATTAGACTGCTTTATTAAACAGTATACAAATTCCAAAACGTCAAAAAAATTGACAACTTCCTCTGGTGTTTCATTTGTTTTAAATAAATTGAATGATGTGAACATATTTCAATCTGCATTTTTTATAAACATTAAATCTTTAAAACTCTTATAGCTCATTTTGGAACAGTAATTTTTTCTACCACTTCGAATGTTAATTTTGACCCTTCCAACATTTGTATGCATTTTGTAAGTAGTGTGTTGTTTATTGCAATCACAACTTCTCATTTGTACACAGCATATATCAAAGATTCTTTAGAAGTCATAATATATAACCATTTTATTATTATTATTATTATTATTATTATGTTTTACTTGTCTTTGTAATGTCTATTAGAAGTGTTTTAACAGTTTTCTTCCATTGTGTTACATTGAAATGACTAATCATTAGAAGAAATGAAATGTCTACATACATTTCAAATGTAAATATAATTGTAATATTTTTTAACAATTCAAATTTTTTTCAAGGAATAGAGTGTAATTAGTCTGTTTGAAACCAGAAAGATAATTTAGTTTACATGGTCATGTTCCACTAGCAAGAAAGTTACATTTAGGACATGAAAATCATTCATATAAATTTTTTTTTTAACTTCTGATATAAGGCTGCTGAGAAAAATTGACAACATAAATTTAACTGAATTCATTAAAAAATTACAAATGTTTACAGGTGATAAATAGTTTCTGGAAATAGGAAATGGAAACCTAGTCCTTGATGGAATAAAACATAAAAACAGAAATGATGGAAAACACTTGAATTTCTACTCAAAAGAATCACAATTAGAAGTTTAGAACACCTGAGAAGAAGGTAAGTGATCAGCATCTTGCAACGTAAAGGTTTTTAGTTTTTAAATAAACATTTCATCATGAATACATGTTGTTTGTTGAGTTATGAAGTGTTATACTCGACAAGAAGTACCAAAATAAAAAAATAACCATAGAAAAGTTGGCTCCCGTATTGTTTTCAATTTACAACATATTAACTTCATCTTGCAAGTACATTCTAATATATCACCACATAAAATAAAAGGCAATACAAAATGAACATATTTGCCTTCATACTATATAGAAGTCCCCAATCATTGGAAAAGTAATTATATTTATAGTTAGATCAGAACAGAAAAAATGTGATGTACTTGCTTCAGATAATTTTTGCATTCTATAAATATTATGGGGAAATGTATTTTCACAATTATGTTTTCCCATTAAAATTAAAATAATTTTCAAGTGTGATTTGTATTTCAGTTATTCTACCTTGATAGGAGAGACACCATAAATTCCTTTCGGGTCTGACACAAAAACAAGTCACCCAAGTAAATGTGTGGCCCTTAGTTGTAACTAAATAACTATTTATAACAAAGATATACTAAAATTAAAAATTCTATTTCTACAACACACTGCTGAAACACACAATTATTACACAGCTATACAGGAAATATGGCTTTTTGAGACAACTATATCTTTCATAATCAAAGATGCAAAATGAACACGAACTTGTAATGTATCACAGGAATAGTTGTATCCAATATGGTACATTTCATGGTGTATTTTCTTCTAAATGTCATAAAATTGTTCCATTCAATGTTTTAGAAAATGATAAAATACTTATTAGTTGTTAAGTAGAGACCCCTACCTGAAGATTGGTTCCCTTCGATAAAGTGAGATACTATTAAACATATAATCACAATCTAAATCTTTTCAATATTACATAATTTTCAGTAACAATAATCAAAAGAACATCACCACCTAATTCAAAAAAATATATTTTATTATAAATTTTATGACATCATAATAGAAACAAATGAATAAATATAGATTTCCTCATTTTCAGGAACTTGAAAGTTTTAATTATTTTTAACAACCACACAAAATAAAAGCCTAATTTTGCTATATTATTCAACTCTTGTATGCTTTTATTCACACAAAAAATGTTCATATAATTGAAATTAAGTACGAACTCATGTCCCATGAATGCTGAACAAAACATTTCATGATAAACTTGTAATTAACACTAAAATTACAATCCTGAAATACCCATACTTGAGAGTTGATCAAATGTAAATATAAGTGCTTTCACTTTCAATACTTTAAAATGATTCTTGTTATTAGCACAGTTGATCTAATCACATTCAACTAATAAAAAATGCATATGAAATGGCCAATTCCTTAGTCTGTTAGAAGTTAAATTTGTAACTTCTTGATTTCAACTCAAACTGTGAATAGTTCATGCTTAAGATTTTATTAATAATTGACCTAAGTTAATAGGAAAGGCTACAGAGAAATTATTCTGACCTATAAGACATTAATACATATCTTGACACAAAAAATACAAAATATTTAGAATGTACAATTTACAATAAAACCTGCTATGGAAAAATGTTGAGTTGCAGTCACATAACTCAGAAAACATGGTGAAGAAATCACCTTTGGAAGTTTGTTGAATTTAAAACAGTTTTAGTATATATGAAGTAATTCCGAGAGATCATAGATAGAAGCCACATATTGTTAGATAATACTTAAGAGATAGAATTCTGTCCATTTGTTTTATAAAGTTTTGCCAAGAAGATAAATATCTATGATATTAAAAAAAAATCAATAAATAAGAACTAATAATATTAATAATGACAGTTATTTTAATCACCATCTCATAACAGTTATAAAAATGAAGTATGGGAGTGACAACTCTGTTGATTAAACATAGTTCTGTACTAATAAATATATGCAGTCAATTGATATATATTTTTTACAATAGTGAAGATATTTGCTCATCAAGAGCAAAGATATATCAAGAAAATTATAATATAAGATATACACAGACTCTACTAAGAAATTGTACAATAAATGTGTTTTACCTGGTGTTAAATGTGAATTCTTAAGATTCATGGAAACGTGTTTTAATCATAACAAAATATTTACATAAATTATAATTTTACAAAAATAAAAGGTTTGAAAGAAGCAAATAAAAAAAATTATAAGAAAGTAGCCCTTGTATTCATTGTATTAAAGTTGAAGACCAAATGACCAAAACTGTAACTGCATTTACAAGACATGCGAATGCACAAATAATACACAATGGTCAAGATTCTTCATAATTTTTTGTTTCTGGAAATCACAGCCAGAAAATTAGTTATCTTGTGTATATGCTAGAGAACTATTTTGAGCATATTCACTTCAGTATTGAGGCATTTTGTTTTCCTTGTGATGACTTCTTTTGACTCTTGGCCTCAATTTTATCTTGTAATTTTTGAATCAGTTCATTCAGTTCTACCTGTTGTTCAAAGAAATACTCATTATAATCACAAGAAGTATATCACACTTTGTCATATTTCAGAAACATTTTAATCTTCATCACTACCTACCTGATCATAAGTGTACATCAATTTACAGTACTTCAAATGATGTCTCTTCTTTGTAAGAAGTTCAATAGCATGTGGAAGGCAGTATACACCTTCTTCATGAGAATTTGTTACCTAAAAATAATATTCAGAAAATTAATTTCAAAATTCACTAGAATATTTTCTAGAAATTTTTCACATTACAATTCACTGATGTTTAACTTTAAAACCTGGAAAATTACTCCTGCTGAGAAAGAAATTCAATTAACCCAAACACCTGTTACATGGAACAAATTAAAAAGTGAGAATGATTTAGGTCATTCTTACTTTTTAGTTGTCATTTTATAATCACAATCAAATTTTGTCCCATTTTGTGCAATTTGACATGGAATAGTTCATATTTATCGCAAATTCTCAAACACCTGACAACAGTTGGGAGAATTGTAAACACTGACTGGGCTGTCTTGCACTTAAGTCTTGACTACTAGACTAACACATAGGCAGTCAGAGTATCTAGTGAAGTGAAATGGCAAAAATATAATACCAACCAGTTCACTACATCATGTTTGAAGGTGCGACAAGGAGTTTCTGCCCACTCAGACATCGGGATGTGTTAGAAAGAAATAAAATTAGGAGACTTTTCCAGGCAACCACTCTTTCCACACTCAAAGATTTCTATACTCTTTGAAAGTTAGAGTTTTTTGGCAATATAGCATTAATTTCGTCAAATGGACATCATTTTAGAAAGAGGAACATGGTAAATGAATATAATTTTGTTCCCAATCATCATTGACTCCAATACTTCAGATTGATCTACTTGTTAGAGAGGACCTCAAAGACTCACTACAGAAAATGTACAACAAATACATTTTTGTATGGCTGAAAGAATTTGAGTGACTTGCTTTACATATGAAGAATCTGGATGCAACCTTTTTAAAATTTCTTGTCTTTTGCAATTACTTTTCATCTCAGTCTTCTATCTAACATGTCTCCTTAAATAAGTTCATCTGTCCTTGTGACAGCATCTTTCCTGGGTAGCCTTTCTTGATGTTCCCTCTAGGCAAAGTTGTTTGACACCGTCATGAATGTGGATGTTTTTCTTTACAGTGAATATGAAGAATCACCATACACACAATCTAATTGCTCTTTAGTATCTCTCTAATATCCCTATTTAGAAAGGATTAGGCTACATAAAATTTTAAACATTTTGAAATTTCACACAGCTGTTTAGAGAGAACAGGAAGATGTCAAGTAAAATGACAGTTGCACCCTTGCAGCATTAAAGATAATTCCTTTATCTCTCAAAGGTCCTGATTGTTATGCACAATCTTGCTCAGATGAGAAGTGTATGGAACCATGTACATTAAATGAGAAACATACAGTATATTGTCTATACCATAATTTACAGTGCCCCTTAGATTGTATCACAAAGCTTGAGCAACTAGAAGAAGATAGAAACTTGAGATTTTTTGCATGTTATTACTTATATATAAGGATATGCTGCCACCTCCCCCCAAGCAATAAACAATTAAAAACTGACTGGGTCTTCAGTGTGGCGTGGTACTATTGCAATGTCCAGTTGTCAGTATAATTCACTAATTTTGGCAGTATGCAATTTGGTTTTGTAGTTTGCGGGAATTTGGGGTTATAATAGGTGGGGTCATAGATAGTCATGGAATTTGCAGAAACAGCAAAACCAAGGCTGTTGATTGGTGTGTGGTGTATTAGGACTAATAATGTACACATTACAATAGGTCTTGCATAGTAGCATGAACACTACTTTTACTGAACAATTTTTGACAAGTCAACTATTGGAGATCGGAGATTAAATATATAATTGATACAACATAACAACAGATACATAACTGAAACGCAACAAACTGTTGACTCTTCGCAAAATTTGAAAGATTTCTGAAAACACAGCAGACCTAATCTTTGTTACACATGCTATTGGATTCCAAAAACACAAGGTGCCTAAATGATTGTAACAATGATAATTATATTTGTCAGAGGAGATCCCTTCACTGGATGTTACAACCAGTAGCAATAATTGCAAATATTCCAAATTTCATCTTCAGGCTCTCCCTAAAATCACTTTGCAGTACAGTACCCCAACAGAGTGCAGACATCAGTTTGAGAACCAGTCACTGATAATTCAGGATGATCTATTTATTATAATGAATGAAGGAAGTTTGATTTTGTGATGTCATTTCTGAGAAATTACTTCTAGTTTTATATAGTAAATGTCTACAACTGAGAAACATAAGGACTAAAGGTGAAGATAGGCAGATTCAAGGTAGGCATTTACTTATATTCATCAAAATTGATTTTTAGAAATTTGACGAACATGCATAAAACACAAACAATATACGTCACAAAGTCACTATATATATA